CCTTCATTACGATTGCTTGATCAATTCTTCGACCTCTGGAGCCAGCTGCCTAAGAACTCGAAAGATTTCCTCAAAGGCTTTGGCTCGAAGTTGTTTGCCCTCTTCTCCCGCAGTCAAAGCAGCCGATTCACTGTACATCTATTAGCATAGTACAATGGGCAAAGATTGACCAGATGCTTACTCCACGTAACCATCATTTCTCCAGCACTTCCCATGCGACTCAACTCCTTGATAAGTTGCACTGACCAGCGACCGACTCCCCTGTTCCGCCGTGCGAGCAAAGAGCTTATATACCAACCACATCATCCATCGCTCGTTGAATCGGTCGTACTGCCGTCCCAGAGAGGACGCACAGAACCCAGGACTGACAGTGTTGATGATCACCGGGGCTGAACCATTCTCCTCCAGCGCGTGAAGCGCCACGGTCTTGAGGACATATTCCATCAGGAGCTTCGAAATCCGGTATTGCTCGGGACCATTAAAGCGCTGGCGGTCATTGAGATGTTCCAGCAGTGAGTCTTCAGCCCGGAGACTGTCCGCTTTTACTTTCGTAAACAAATGGCTTGACACCACACTCAAGTGACTGGGCCTTTCGGGCGACGAGCTACTCCGGAGTTTAGGAAGAAGCAGAATCGCCAGCAACGAAGTGGACAGTGTATTGACCTGCAACGTCTCCTCCCATCCATCAGGAGACGCTGTATAACTTCGATTCCACAATCCCGCATTGAGCAATACCACGTCCAGCCGTTCGACCTCTGTGTTGACGCGAGCTGCGAAATCCTTGACGCTTTGGAAACTGCTCATCTCCAATTCCCAGACATGGATTACCCCTGGTCTGTTGGTGCGCTGCTCCAATTCTGCTTTAGTCGCTTGTCCTCGCTCCAGGTTGCGACTGCCAATAATAAGAGAGTCCACACCAAGATTGAGCAGTTTGATGGCAGCCTCGAACCCCAGCCCAGAGGTGGCCCCAGTCAGGACCACTGTTTTGCCTGCAAAGGAGGTTCCGGTGGGGCTTTCTGGGGACGGCATTTGCAGAAGGCGAAAAAGACCAGCCATAATGATGATAGAGACTTGAAGAAAATAAGGCTAAGGTGCTGATGTCGGCGTATGAAACGATAAATAAATTGGTCTGAGATAGAAAAGCAACTTTGAGCTACATGGCCTGATACGGCAGGTAAACTTGGCAAGCTGCTGACAACAAAGCGCTTCAGTGAGCAGATCTTCGAGGAGATAGAGCTATATTATCAGTTCAACGCTCAAACTCGGTATGGGAAACAGGAAGGTAGACCATTAATCAAGATTTCGATGAAAAATAGGCCACTTCAATATTGTAGCATTTTAAACTTACCTGGTATAAGAGAGCAGCCTGTAACCTCTCATGAGTCTGTGTACAGGACTAGATAATATTCATATTTCATTTAAGTCAGGGAGAAGCCAGTAGTTAGTCCATTGCTTAGGCTTGCCGCGGCGTCTGGGCAGCGCACTTAGATAGTTAGGAGATGAACTGCGTTAGTCCGTCACTTTTCCTGAGTACCTTATGGTAATATGGTGGCCAGTAGGACGAACCGCTCCGGATTTGAGGAGTGTCAAGGACTTGAGCAATGAGGTCGAATCGATGGATCATGTGGTGAGGAGCTGTGGGATTCGTTTCTGCTCTGAACGTGATCTCCATTCAATTTGGAGCTGGCATACCAGTAGCCATTTACTCAAAACAAGGCCTCGGAGAGATGCAAAAATGCTCCTTGGATAGACCGGTAGACGCTTCCAGAGCAGGTTTATCTGAAGGATTTCTGGTTGATTGTTGATTGTTGATTGTTGATTGTTGATCGTTGACTGTGACTGGTGTACGGAGTAGAGCGAGAGGAGACAAACACTGCAAACATCGAGCGCAGCTTGTATAATCTGGCGTTAAATTGTCGCCATTCTGTCAACATCTTGGTTCAACATACCTTCGTTTTCTGTTTTCTGTCTTTTTGAATACTTAATACGTTACTGAGATTATTGGAAAAAATCAGCCTCAACTGTAGTTTGATCACTTGCTAGGACTTCTGTGATGCGAGTGTGATCAGAGGCAGGGGGTCGTCGGCTTAGATAGTATCATCCTTTTTACCGAACTTCATCTATAGAAGAGCGTTGACATCATTCGAGCTGGTCTGGCGAAGGGTTCAGCAGACATGATCACTCCAGAAACGACTCAGAGTCCACCGGCTGGCCGAACGTGGCGCAACTACTTTCCCGACGGTGACCTTTGGGTATTTGGGTATGGGTAAGTCATGCTCCTGCGAGTTCAATCCAACTGTGTGTCATCATAGATCCTGTTCTCGTTATCATTCATGGCTGACTTGTCGAAAAGGAGTCTCATTTGGAAACCACCACCACACTATGGTGTGTATCATCTGTCAAACTACAGTGGCGTCTGCATCTAATTTTGGTACAGACCAACGAGTTCCAGGCTATATCGAAGGCTACGTCCGACGATTCTGGCAGGTTTGTACTTCACCAGATGCACCCGTGCTCTAGTCATCTCTGACATTCATTAGGCCAGGTACACACTCCCAGAATTCAAAAATTGCCAAGAAATCCCACTAATCAACCATAGTACCGACCATCGCGGCACCCCAGAAGCCCCAGGTCGTGTGGTAACAGTCATCGAACGGGGGTTCTGGGAAACCCTTGATGACCCGGTAAGTCCTTCCTCACGACTTACCTCAAATCAGCCTCTGACCGAACAGCACGTGCATCTTGAATCCTCAACAGCCCGCGTCTGGGGCGCAGCATACCACATCCCCGCCTCCCATGCCGAGGAAGTCCACGACTACCTCGACGAGCGGGAAATAGACGGCTACACCGTCCACTACACCCCCTTTCATCCCATATCTGCCGTCTCCGCATCCACCGTCTCCAAGACCCCAGAGACGGAGGCGGTGCCACAGACGCAGTCGCCAGCGCAGGCGCACGCCACACCAATCACCTGCATGGTGTATATTGGGCAGCCTAGTAACCCGCAGTTCCTGCGCGACCCGGCTCGCCGCGAACCGCAGGATGTCGCGGAGGTGATTAGCCGTGGGCGGGGCCAGAGCGGGAAGAACACGGAGTACCTGTACCTGCTTGAGAAAGCGCTGGAGGGACTAGGGCTCGGGAGTGCTGATATGCATGTCACTGATCTAGTGCGACGAGTGAAGGCGATTGAGAGCACGGAGGAAGCGACAGCCGAAGAGGCGGCTGCGGAGAGGGACGTGAAGAAGTCCCTCGATGCGTCTTGGGTCGAGGCGCATAGGGATCCCTCGAAGACCGAATAGTCTGCAAGCTTATGTATAGATGACGGCTACACATGACAATTAGATAGAATAGACGTTATAAATTGCATATATCCATATACATGGCAGTTCATCTTTCTCAGAGTGATCATATCCATCAAGTAGTATAATTATGAGACAGACCCCAGCCAAACAAGCAGCCACGCTATCTCCATTGTCCCCTCCCTTTCCTCATATCTCCGACTGTGATATCTCCGACTGGTCGCACCAGTCAAGGACACCCCTTATACACATACTCTCCCTTAACTCCCAATTACGCCGAGGCGCTCCTCCTGCCGTGCATTCACAATCAGTGATCGTTCTGTCTCAGATCAAGGACACTCTTGCGCGATGACAGCCTGAGCCCAGCAGATGGTATCTATTACATCACGGGACTCGTATACCTCGGAGACCGTAGCCTCAAACACAAGTAAGACAGGACCTACCCGATGAATGCACCAATCGAGGATCGTAGCACTATGGTCCTCGGAAGCTGATAATGGCGACAGCGGCACCCCTCTGCTTTGAGGATATCGGATCTAGAACCAACGGCGTTGGTCTTCAGCTGAGCGGTTGATGGACGGTATACAGGAAGTCATCGAGGCACACCTCCCAAGGAACTACAAATATTCATGGAATTCCTCGCGAAGAATGCCAAATATAAAACCATCCATGATGATCTCAATGGAGATTAGGGGGATCACTCTACTCGCAATGCTCAATCCCTACTCACAGTATCCCTTATTCACCATAGCCCCAGCTGAACGACTGACGAACCATTTACCAAATCGGGATAGACATCGATAAATAGACTCGATGGTAGATATTCCCAAGAATGACAGGCAGATAGACATGCTCTATTATGCGAACACGATGCTCAGTCTAGGGTTTCAGGGTGTCCCTTATCCAGCTAAACGAGGTCATTGATGCCCTACAAAAGCAAAAGATACCTCTCCCATCCGAATCTAGATGCACCATTTGGACTTAGAAACAGTCCAGAACTGATGGTTCTCCTCGCTCAGACTGTCACAATACTCCGCTTACCCAATGGAATAGTCCATATCCAGTCTGTAGAACAATGGGACAACTGGCCCAAAATCTCGGGTCGGGAGCTGCTATTGACTCAGATCTTAACTACTCTCTGACTTGCAGTACTCCTCGCTCAGAAAAAAGTATTTCCGCTAATGATTCGATTTGACCTTCTCACTGGCTACATAGGACCGATCGAAAATAGTGAGGAGATGGTTAACAATGCGTGAGCATCAAGGACAGTCGGTACCTGGGACTCTCCCCAAACTTCCTGGTGAGATCCAGCCAAACAACCGGAAATTAGGTACACCACGAGGTGGGAAAGGTGGTGACGCATATTGTGATGGCTATATAAGTGATGCTAAAGTCTGGTAACGGCCCATTACTCCTACTAGAACCTCTGTTGGACCCTACATTCGACCACCTTTTCGGCCGGGATTTGGGCCTCCTCCTAAATGAAATATCCCGTCACTATGAAGTAGAATTGGCAGTAGAAAAAGAAGACGAAAGAGAAGAAATAAGGTTCGGAAGTATAAAAGGAATCAAGTGATACCACAACGTTCAGTATTACTGATGCATATCAAAATCAGCGATGATGCTCACTGACAGTTGCCAATCAGTGCCAACGGTTATTTCTCCCAAGCAAGTTGATGCAAATCCGGTACCAACCGACAATCAATATAGCCTGTTCCGCCGCCAAAAATCCCTGGGAATACCAATCAGCCCTTGTTCCATGATTCCATGTGAGGATAGAACGCCATGCGATGTATCTGCTACGGCCTCCCATGGACAATGTAGTGATGCTTTATCCGTCGGGACACGATTTGGAAGGACGTCTTGATAGACTGGATTGCTTTCGAAGCTGTCCGCACTCAAAGGAATTTGCATTGCATAGTCCCACACATATTTCAAAGTCTCTTCCTCTGGATGCATGATCGCATCATATGCCGCATCGAGCGCCTGTGTAGCAAAGTGATCATAGATATCATGCTGAAGTTGAGCATCCTCAGCAAAAGACATTACCACGTCGTCATCAACTTTATCCCTTCCTGCTCCTGAAGCGAGCTGGAGGTCGGCCTCTTGTTCAAGAGGTCCGATTTGAAATAGCGAGGAGAAGCACTCGCCTTGGGCTTTGGTAGGATGCTCGGGGCATTTCCATGTATCAGAGCAGGGGTGAAAGCCTTCCTTCGAGCCAGCGTTTCTCGTATTACCCAGTGTCGTCTGCTCGAGTCGCGCTAGAGATGTACTATATGTGTGCTGAAACTCTGGCTCGGTATTGAGACCTTCATCAAGAGGCCCTGGAAAGATAAATTTCGTATCCAGACTTGCGTTGTCCTCAACGAAAACCTTTCCCACCTCTTCCAAGAACACCATTTGTTTGAGTCGCTTCAAATAATTTCCGTCAGCGTCCTCCACTTCATAGACGGAGCTTGCTTTGTGATCGTTGCGTCTGCTACCTGGGAGAGAACTCTCTGACTCGACTTGTCCCTTCGTCTCTGGTTGCCAAAACTTCTCTCGCTCCTGTAGCAGGAGCTTCAGGTCTTCCAAGCTCCAGTGTTTTCTGCCTGAATGGGTAGACTCATCTTTTTCCTTGTCTTGCGAGCCCAAATCAAAATGCAAAAGCTGTCTCATATAAAACTCTGACCAGGACTCGGACGCAAATGCGGTATGTTCATTGCGTGAAAAACTGATAGGCGTTGATGACAGAGAGGTTCTGCACTCTTGAACATCAGGATGGTACGCCCCAGAGGGCTTAGGCTGGTCAGCTGGAGACTGAACTGCAACAGCGCCATGCCTCTTGGCTGCTGTGTCGCGCACGCTAGAGTCTACTTGGGATTGTACTTGCAAGTTCGGAGAAGAATGCAACAAGGTACAATTTGCCTCCATCTCGAAGCCCTGCGTACGAGCCTCGTCTTCGAAAGAGCCGAATGGGAAGTAGCTCGAAATGAGTAGTTGAGAATCCTCGGGATTTGCTCGCGTCCTCCTATTTTTGTTTTGACTTTGATGGCTTGTGTATTTTTCACTATCGCTCCGTAATTTCCTGCTCAAGAATCTTGTCTCTGAGAACCCCTTCTCAGACGCTCGACCTCGGTTTACCAGCTTGCGAATGCCTGAGAAATGGGGAAAATCTCGAAGCTCGCGGGCTTTCACTGGTGATGAGGTTTTTCCTTTTCTGAAAATACCCAGATCTAGGTGCGAATGTAGCTGTTCAAAACGTCAGCAATAGCTCCCTTGATGACTGAAGTACAATGCATACTGTCAATCGATCTCGCGGGACATTGGAAGCATGGAAGTTGTTATTGATCGTATGTCTCCTAACCTGCTTTGATGACCTTTTCGCTTTTATCGGCGATTGCTTTCGTTGTATTCGAGAGGTTGAGCCTTTGTACTCGTAACGGTCTTCCTTGGTCTTATTTCGCGGCTTGCGTTCGTATCCACCTTTGCTTCCCTTTTCAGGAACTGCCCGTTTTTCAGCAGGAGACCTTTCAGGATATGGCGAATGTCTGATACGGTTCAAGGGAGGGGAACGATGAGCGAAAGAGCTTCCTTCGCGCAGGGTCCTTCCCGGAGGAGTTGATACAGAATGCTTAATAGGGAGCTCACTGCTGTGGTATTGCCGGCTCTTCGTTCGAGTCACTTGTTCAATGATAAACAGAAATCAGTCAGCGAAAATTGGCCCCTAGAAACTTCTGGGGATGACGGATAAGAAATCACTTTCTGCTGGACCTGATCCATGAGATGATATGACTCCGCGATGGTTTGTATGAGTCGTCGGTGAGTTCTCCCGTTCAAGGAGCCATTTGAGAATCAATTCATGGGCACCTGGTGCCAGGTAACGATGTCTTCGCAAGGATTGATGCATGGCTGTAGCTGTGCTCGCATTGAAGCTGCTCGTTGCGCTGAGATTGTTGCCAAGTAGGATCTTTCGGCTGGCAAGCCTTTCTTTCTGGAGTGGACGACATCATTGTCGGGTGTTTGTCTATGCACCCGTTCCATAACTGGAAGTCATGGCTCAGGCAGCAGCTTCCTCGCCAATTGTCTTGGGTCATCCAAGTATCAAAGAACCTAAGCATCTGCGAGTTTCAAACATACCTACGGTAGTAAAGAAATTCGACATATTGACCTCATAACATTGAGATTCAGACAAGACACAATTCTCTTCTTATGCACCTACATAAAGCTAATCTACCTACTAAGCTAAGGTGTGTTCTTAGCGTCTCGCTTATATTTCCTATCAGGGCATGAGCCTAGATAAGTTGATACCCACTTGGCCACGGTCTCGGATCGATTCTCCACCATTATCAATTCTACCCCTCCTCTCGGGCTCTCCTTATGTCGATTGTCGAGGACTATCGTAGTTTGACCTCTTCCTAAATGATATACAGGTGTCAGCTCGGAGTTCAGTTTCACTATAGTAGTGTGAGGAGGGGGCCAAAACGAGAGCAGTTAAATCATCAAATCACCTGATCGGAGAATCTGCACCTTCTCGGCATCCCTGTCAACTGCAAGCTGACCAACCGAAACAACCATTGATCAGCTCACGGTGATAGTGGGATGTGACTGACAATCTGGCGTACTCATTATTGCTAGACTTCGGCATGGCTTTTCAGTGAAATCATCAAATAGATACAATGGAGACTTTGAAAACTAAAAAGCTGTTCAAATCTTCTCTCCTTTTTTTTTTTTTTTACCCCGACGGGAGACAAAGTTTCACCGATTTCGAATACCTCCACAGTTCAACAAGAATTTGCCTGCGCCTGAGAGATAAGGCGATGGACTACACCATACTGCACCATACAGTATCACGTTTTGAGATGAGAAACAGCACAATACTACGAAATACTTCCTTATGCAGAAGTGTACATAGACAGGGATGGACAAACTCCAGCTAATGTAGATGATATGCGAGGTACAGGTTGAGATACCACCCATGGTACGACAAATGAGGGACTTTGAAGTATCTTTTTCAAAGTCAAAACTCCCATAACAATGGACCATCTTTAGATCCCCAGACGTCCCCCGTTTTAGTCACCGACTCTTTCAAATACAGATTTCTGACTCTTTGGAGTAAGATCCAGGCTTCTGCTTGCTCCGGCCTTTCCAGTTCCCACCCTGTTACTGCGCAAAAGCTGAAAAAGGGGTGCGGATTTTCCAATGAGGGGGACGCATCAGCCCTCAGGTCACTGATGACCATAGTCTAGCGTCCTTAGACTGTTCCCGTTATGCGCTTGTCATGCATTAATAGAATAATAGTAGTAATATAATGGCTCCCGCTTATCCAATTTATCATTGCCATGCAGAAATAATAATAGTGGCGAGTAGATACGGAGTACTACCAGGGAGAGGTAGCTCGTAGGAGTAGTAATCAGTAACCCCCGCTTTGCATATTTGCTACACCTCCTCCAGGCCTCCCTTTTAATTCTCCCACTTTGCAGGTTCTACGCGGCTAATCCAGTGCTCTTCTTGTCTTATCTTCCTCCTCATCTAAATCATCTGTGATATTGACAGTCATCGTCTTTCAGCAACAAAAAGTTTCTACTGTGAGTGATCCTTGTCTTGCTGAATGCTCTGTTTGTTTCACAAACTAGCAACATCCTCGGGCATAGCCGCAGTGAATTACCTGTGAAAAAAATTTTTTTCAGAAAAGGAGGAAATTTTCTGCTCCTGATTTTCTTCCCCTCCTCTTTCTTTTTCATCCACATATTTCGATCGCCTTGATCTTAGGGAAACTGTCACTACCTTTCAAGTGCTAATCCAACTAAACAGTTACATTCAACCTTCAACATGTCTAAGCTTTTCATCGGGTGTGTTTTCATTTTACGTCAAAGTCCAAGTGGACGCGTTTAATCAAGTGACGGTTTAATAGCGGCCTCGCATGGCACACCACTGATGACGCCCTTCGTCAGGGTTTCGAGCAGTTCGGCCAGGTTGAAGAAGCTGTTAGTAGTACCTTTCCCTCTCGTCGTTCACTATCACACCATCTTTCTCATTGTTACTACCTTGCCATACCATGCTAATGACTCTTTCACGACACGCAGATTGTGGTCAAGGATCGTGACACCAACCGCAGCCGTGGTTTCGGTTTCGTCCGTTTCAGCAGCGAGAACGAGGCTGATGATGCCATGAACGCCATGAACAACCAGGAGTAAGCTTTCCCAAATTTCTTGAGCCCCTGAATTGTGCCCGAGTGCCCAAATTGTACTCTATTGAGCCATATTTCTCATCGCAGAAGCACTAACAAATGACGCATATAGGTTCGATGGACGCACCATTCGTGTTGACAAGGCCTCTGAGCGCGCTCCCCGTAACAACGGCGGCTTCCACGGCCGGGGTGGCTACAACCAGTCCGAGGGTGCTCCCGGAAACGGTATGTTCTCACATCAAATTGTTTAACGAGTCACTATTCTGACAGATCTTACAGGTGGTCAACGTTACGGAGGTGGCCAGGGTTACGGTGGAGGCAGTGAGTAGAACCGATTGGTGTCCTTCCGAATTATCACTAATTCACCATCAGGCTGGCGTAACCAGCCCTCGAGTAACGGGCAACCCGCTGCTTAAATGCTTCAGTCGAAAACACCTAGCTCGTTTCTCTCCGTACCTTTTCCGCCAGATAAGTTATGAGATACGATTATGAAAATGATCATGCCGGGCTCTTTATCGCATTTCTTGAGCATGAATGACGCATAAGTTCATGATGATGGAATTTATTAGTGCTTTTTGCTTGTCTCTCAGTTTCGCTTCATCTCGCTTATCGAGATAATAAAGATTGGTTGACGGCCATTGCATGGCGAGACACTTTTCCACTATTTTTCTTTCAAGTTGCCTCATAGACTAAAGATTCAATACTCAAGCACTCCTCTTAGACTTCATTGATGTGTTGGCAGGCTTCCATTGTTGATCGAAGCAGTCATATGGATATGCCCACGACTTTAACTTTTATGCTAGCAGAGCGTTAAATAGGCGAATAGTTTGATTGGGTATAAAAGGAATGTGCCTCTGACTATATTGACATAATACTGTACTCAGATTCAGAAGCAGCGCATCGGACAAGATGCCTAGCTCTTCCTACGCTGCGAGGTAAAACTTTCTCGTTTTTGAACGTAACTAGAGAGCCGCCATGGCGAGGTAATAAGACAACCTTTTGATATGGAAGCTCCTGCTGCTCTTCGCGGAGCGCCCCGAGGACTGCGGGTATCGCGGCGTCGCGTCTCAATGTATAGTACGACCGCAAACGCAGATCGTCGTGTGATGATAGACTTGACCTGTGTCAGGACGCTCATAGTGGAGATAAAGCCTCAACGACACCCGCTCCCCTGAAGGCGGCCTTATTGGTCATGACGACTTCGACTGGGTATTTCCATTCCATAAAGCGAGTCCAGCCTACACCACTCATGTCAGTCTTGTTTGGAAGCTTTGAAAATCAACAGGCATACCCCAATAAGCGCACCTCCGTCCCAGATACTTTCCAATAAACGGGACGATGACCATGGTCAACAGTAACTCCAACTGCTCAATGCTTTCTCTCCATTCCTCCTCGGCATCCGAGTAGTCGTCTGAAATTGTGTCTATATCTGAAGCGGTGGTAGACTCGGATGGAAGGGACGCAATCTCATCGTCTGAGCCGGATGTGTACCTGTCTATCGAAGACACCATGTAGGCAGACGTAGCGAGGGACGGGTTAGAGGCGGAAGGTGAAGAGTACGACATGGTGATGTTGACGTGGGTTGGGGAGATAGGAGGGGTTATTGAGCGAAGCAAAACACCGATAATGAGATCAAGCAGTGGCCTGCCTACTGCCTAAACAAAGATTGTAGCATGGAGTGTTGCCGACCGACACAGGCAGAGATATTCAAGATCGGAGCCCTAATGCTCAAGAGGCATCCAGAGATGGGCCTGATGTAATCCAGGGGAGCCAAGTCACGTGTGTACCATATGGTAATATGTGGGCACAGCATTTGACTCAGAGTCACGTGAGCCTGTACCGCGATAACAGAATTGCCATCGCGAACTCAAAGATATGGCTCTAGTAATATATCAACCTCTCGTCAGTCTACTTCTAAGCATAGTCTTTACTGCTAGATAATATTCATTCTGACTGTTGTCATATTTGGAAGTGCCTCCTGCTGCAAGAAAGACATATACAACATGGCGGATGCTGTACGTCACACCCTGTTTTCCCTTTACCGACTCTGCCCTCCCACATTTTCTTTAATGCGGACATCTTCACATTTCGTGCCCCCCATCGGCCTAATCACACTTACGTTGCCGCGCACCTTCAGTTGTAACGTTCTGCTGTGCTAGGCAGTGAACTATTACTCGACTTTTGTCCCCAGGCTTATTGTCTTTGTTAATTAATTTCCACCTTGCTAACGTGACATCGGGCCCCATCAGCAGGTCGAGCCCACTCCTCAAAAGCAACGCAAATCGGTTGCCTTCAGTGAAGGTGCAGTCATCATGGACACAAACGGCGAAGTCACAGAGGCGCCCGCTCCTCAAATCACCACGGCTGAGAATGAAGCTGGTATTCTTTCACCTTCCGCTCAAACCCGCGGCCGCAGCCGAAACTGACTCCAAGCAGGCACAGCAGACCAGGCAGTCGACGAAGTAACCGAACTCTTCAAGGGTCTCTCGAAAAAGAAGAAGACAAAGAAGCCCAAGGACGCTGAGGCCGGTGAAGGCGACGACGCCGCTGCCACCGCCGATGGCGAGTTCGACCCCACCGCCCTGAAAAAGAAGAAGAAGAAGGTCAAGAAGGTCGACGCGGGCGACTTCGAGGCCAAGCTCGCCGAAGCCGGTATCTCAGAGAAGGCCGCCGCCGAGGAGAAGGAGGATGGGTTGCCCGAGGGCGATCTCGAAGCCGGCACCGGTATCTGGGCCCACGACGCAACCCAATCCATCCCTTACTCGCTCCTCGTCTCCCGATTCTTCTCCCTCATCCAGAGCCACCACCCCGACATGCTGTCCAGCGGCACCAAGTCGTATAAGATTCCTCCTCCTCAGTGTCTGCGTGAAGGTAACCGTCGTACCATCTTCGCCAACATCGCCGATATCTGCAAGCGTATGAAGCGTTCGGACGACCACGTCATGCAGTTCTTGTTCGCCGAATTGGGTACCAGCGGCAGTGTCGACGGTAGCAGACGTCTGGTCATCAAGGGTCGTTTCCAGCAGAAGCAGATTGAGAACGTCTTGAGAAGATACATCGGTATGTTGCTCTTCGCCCCTTTTGAGTCTGAATACAGTAGCTGACAGTCTTCAGTCGAATATGTTACCTGCAAAACCTGCCGCAGCCCCGACACCGAACTCAACAAGGGTGAGAACCGTCTGTACTTCGTCACCTGCAACTCCTGCGGTTCCCGTCGGTCGGTCGCCGCCATCAAGACCGGTTTCCGTGGACAGGTCGGCCGCAGAAAGAGACAAGGCTAAACGAGGTTATGGCTTGGTGGGGGATCTATGGGGAGCCAGCTGTGGGAAGATACTTTTCTTGTTTTTCCTGTTTATTTCCCCCCATTTTCGTACAAACATTTCTCTTCTATGTGGATGACGATGCAAAAAGATTGAAATGTGATGTCGTGAGTTATGCAAGATTTGGAAAAATAGAGACGACGTGAAGACCCGAAGTAAAAACCCGCGCGTCCAGGAATCACTTCATTCTCATTCTGTAAGGGCTATCTTAATCGGCTATGAGATAAAAATGCCAGTCGAGATGAATCAAGATAAAACAACATCCGCTCAAGGAATCACAACGCCAAACATGAAAATTTACCAGCAAATAGAGAGTGTAGAAGCCTCTGCTCCTGTCCATCCATCAAGCGCCATCCTCTAGTTACTGGCAGTATGTGCTCCGATATGCGCGGCAAACGCAGTGACGTTCCTCGTCTGCAGGTAGACGGTTCCAGGGCCGGTGAAGCGGCATGCCAGACCCTCGCCGGAACCGATATTGGAAATGATACCTCCTGAAGCGACACGCTCCATCTTGTACTTGCAGTTCCAGGCGACAAGATGTCCGTTATCCACGAAGTAGGATTCGCCGTCGGCAATCTGTATAGTTCATCGTCAGTGGGTGGATGGTGCAAAAGTGGGTGCTAAGAAGCCAGAGGAAGAGTAGCTTACATCCTTCTTGATGATAGCGCCGAAGCTCTGAAGCCACACGAGACCGACACCAGACATCTTGTACACGAACAATCCCTCTCCGGAGAAGACACCCTTCGCCAACCCCTGTGCTTGATAGTCCTTTGCGATACCACTAGTCGCGGCCAGGAAGGCGTCTTTCCCGACTTTCCACGAGTCCGAGCCGGACAAGCGCAGCACAATGATATCACCCAGAGTTGAGGGCGCAAGCAGAAGCTCGCCGGGGCCGGTGTATGTGGACAATGACATCTCGCCGCCGACAAACATCTTCTTCAGAGAGAACTTGATGCTTCCTCTTAGTGTGATCGAGTGCGACATTGCGATCATCACTCCTGATCGTATCATGAGTCTCGTCGAGATTTCAGATTCTGAGAGATTAGCACTCACCTGGCTTGGCTTCAATCGGACATCCTACCGCCAGCTGCAGCGTGAGAATGGAATTCGAGTCCCGGTGGCTGATCCTGTAGCTTCCGCCATTGAATGTCCCAACATCGTCCTGGGTAGTTGAGTTCACGAACTGGCCGAACTGAGACGGCCCGACGGATGTCCGCTGGGCTTGCGCAGCCATGTGCGAAGATTGAGATGGCGTCGACTGGTGGCTCGGCGGCTGCGGGGGAGGCGATACAGAGCTCGGTCCATATGGATTGGCCATACCGGGATGCGTGGCATATGCGGCCGCGTGTGCTTCCCCCGGTGGGGGGCTTGCAGGAGTCGGTTGCTTGGGTGGAGGAGGGTAACTGAAGTTATGAGGTGGAAATCCTGGTGATGGCTGGGGAGGTGGCGGAAAGGCTATATACAGCATCATCATGAGACTATATTCTCAACGCAAGAAACGGTTTGTTATCATACCTCCGGAGTTTGGAGGCGCTTAACCACAGGGATGATTAGCATGTGTATGGGTTTGGTCCAGCTTTGGAGTAGTACTCACGAGGATAATGGGCCTCTTGAGTCGGAGGAGGTGGGTATGAAGTCGCCATGCTTCTCGTTGTTTTCCTCTTCTTCCCAGTAGTTTTGGACAGGCGCAGTCGCAAATGTTCTCGGGGCAGACGACAGAGGGAATGAGAAGAATTTAAGGGGACCAAGCAACAACGAAAATCGGGATACCCTCGTATCCTTCAGTCGTTTCCAAACTCAATCCGTCACCGTTTTAGCTTCAGTGAGGGACTTCTTCAAAGACCACGCAACCTGGTTGACAGCTATATTTCCATTCAAGAGATCAATTGCGCAGACAGGTGAGATATATGAGCATGCAGCTGTGGCAGCTGTAACCGCTGAGCATCTGTCATCCTGACATCTCATTGCTCTGATTGATGGCTGTCGGCGCTTAGAGGAATTGGGTGGGGAGAGCTGTGATAGGACCTGCAGAAGAGCTCAGTCGAGCATGATTAGTCCATCTTTAGGTTCCCGCATGTGCAATCCGTATCTTCCTGTCATTGGGCCACTCATCCTCCATTGTAGCAATCTTAATGGTGGGAGTCATTGTGCCATGAGAAGAGGCATACAAGCCGAGACCGCGAGCAGTCTGGGCGAGGGGAGGGGGTGAAGTGGGGTAGATGGAAGGTGAGAATAACAGATTATCGTTATTGTGCTGCGCTACGGATTAGAAGTTGTTTCTGTTCTTTGAAGGGGATCAAAATAAATCCTCAGACAGTAATCGAATATTCTCCTATCTATGTATTCTTATATCCATCAGTAGCAAAGTGGTAGAGCAATAATAGCAAGTCATTGTTTATGGAGCACCTAGTAACAAATCCAAGGTTAGAGTATCAAGTGATAGAAAAATCTTCATAGCAAATTGATTAAATGCCATCGCCACAGCTCTTAAGTGCCTCGAGTCTTATTGTCGCGCATGTCCTAGCTAGCCAGATCAAAGCAGCCAGAGTACTCCTGGCACTTCTGCGAAGCGAAATGTTCTATTTCCTCTTCTCCCCCTTTACTACTTCTCCTGTTCATCTTGTTCCCACCATCGGCACTCCTTTACACGTGGCTTCAGGTGAGACTGCGGAATCTTGTGTTCCCTCGATCTGTATTGCTTTCTTAGTTTGATCTGTCAGAGTTGGGTGTTTTCTCGTTGTAGCTGGGAGGTATATCATCATCTACTCCTCGTCCTTGAAGGATGTCGAATAGTCCAATATCAATCTCTGGAAGATGATAAGTGGAAGTATAGGATTCTCGAGTATGTCCATGGACTCTGATGACCCTATCCTAGATTGAGGTTTCAATATCAGCGCGAGAGGCATCTCACAGCATTCGCACGCCCACAGCTTCCTCCAGAAGAGGCGCATGTTTGACAATCATCTCCCATGTTAGAGGACGGCTATGCCCGTTCCTTAAAATTCGAAGCGATATAACTTCTTCAGTCTCATCAGGTCTGTATCTGTTGCGAGATGGCTTCGCGATTATGAGATCCTTGAGTTCTTGCACATGCTTCTGGTAAAGCACACAGTGATTTTCAATTTCCTGAGCCAGCCGGGCACCTAGTCCAGAGTCTGGATTGTTTTGCCAAATAGACTGGAGCATCGTCGGCATCTTCCGGGAATTTCACTCGTTGTAGTATAGCATGTCCTAGTGCTTTCTCTTCTCGATGAGAGGTACAGCTCCATCTACTCAGACGAGCTCACTGCTATAGCTAAGGATTCATTCTCCTTAACATGTACTCTGTACTCATATTCCAGATTGTCCTCGACTCAATCTGAAACATCGCTTCGACTTGAGGCGCACACTCGATGAGAAGCGAGCCTCAATCCGAGGTTTGAACTCTCCTGAGGCATTCGCCCTGAAATCCCATCAAGGACACCATATTCACGTGAAGGCTTGATTTCGCCTGGGCTCTTGTCCTTGCGGCGTCTCAGAGTTCTTGTCGGAGTGTCGTTTATTGTTGAATGTCGACAAGCGGAGTTTGTGTGCTCCAAATATACCGCGCAAAAGGTTGCTTATCTTGAAGACTTCTCACTCCCTATGGTATGTCAGTATCATCTTGATCTAACCATGGATTGATTCATGAGCAACTATATATGATCCCTCGTTGCATCTCCAAGGTAAGTCTGAAGCAGTACTATGGCAGATCGGTGATGGTGGGGCTATTGGAGTCAAGTGTACTCCGTAGATGCGGACCGCCAGCCACAACCCCAGAATAGAGAGGTATCAGATCGTCGGTTCGTAACTCTGTTATGGTCATAATAACGACCCCAATTCCTTGTCAGCTTTGGCCAGGTGCACTCAGTCCCAGAAACCACTAACATATTCAAATTCAGCAATGTACTTAGGAGAACTGGCAGTTACCCTAACTGCATATGTCCTAATATGCATTTGAAACATTCTGGAACAACCTGTCTGTATGGAGCAAAGCCAATTAGGCAACAAGATATACACCATTGTCCTTCGCGAAGGAATGAATTAATTTATCTCTACAGTAACTATGCTATGCATTATCTAAATGCTTTGAAAGTAGACAGTTTGTATTTCCATCTAATGATCCCGCATAAGAGAGATGATCTGTTAAGGTATGGGCGGAGTCATCAGTAGAATACTTGTACTATGCCTGCATTAACCAGTAAATTAAGCATGAACCATAGACATGGAATAGATACTGACTAGAGTATTTTATCCTGAAATATGGCCTCTTGGTATATGAGACTGCGCACTCGATCAAATATTGATAATTATTATTGATGGAAGCATCCAATGTAACATAGCCTGCCAAGCCTCATAAAATACATAGTCAATTGTGGCTCTGTTTCGGCTCGATCCTCTCCCGGGTCCAATGCCATGTGTGCCTGAGGTGTTCCTTAAAACATATATTACCTATTATTAGTGATAACCGACTACGCCTTCCTGTACTCGACATCTGCTCCGGCGACTATCTCTCTTCCATCCGTCTTTTTCATCGCCGTAACACGTCTTGTCATCCATATATCACCATCCGCTTCATAATGGCGACTCAAAGCAGCTTCATGACCGCAATGAGCAACCGCTCGCTCCGCACTATCCGATCGGTATGATGATGCCGCACTAGTTTCTCCATCTTTCCCACGTCTGCCGCACACATTGCTAATATATCCTAGGAGCTCGAGTTTCTTGCAGATGCTTCGGTCATTACACGTCAGCAACTCTCATCGATCCTGGCTCAGCTGCCTAGCGAGGACCCTCAACAAGCCGCTATATCAGTTCCTCAGCCGCAACAGCAACAGCCGGTTCTCGCTCAATCTCAACCTCCCCCGGCCTCATATGCTCCTCCTACATCGCAGTTAGCCAATAGCTCCCTGAACGAAAAGGCGGCTCTGCAGCAACAACAATACCCGACCCCCTCTGTTCCCCCACCCGCTTACCCTCAAGCTGCGCCCATATTGTCCATCGCTACAGCACTCTATGCATATACCCCAACAGATGCTGGTGATCTTGCTCTGCAGCCACACGACCGTGTCCAAGTCCTGGAACACATGAATGCTGATTGTACGTCGGCTTCAAAGCGATGTCGGGGAATTCAAGCTAACAGACACAGGGTGGCGTGGCCGTAACGAACGGACCAATCTTGAGGGTATCTTCCCTCGCAGCTATGTGAACGTAATCGAAGAAAAGGGAGTGTCGTCTCCCCCTCCCACCAACTACGGAAATGTGCCTCTTGAGGTTAGCCAGAGCGGCTCATCTGCCCCCGATGGAAAGCGACCTGGCAGCAAATTCGAGGAACAAGGCAAGAAGTTTGGCAAGAAGATGGGCAATGCCGGTATGTCGATTGTGACTCCATTGAGGATGTGTTTGCGGTCACTAACTATGTCTTAGCTATCTTCGGTGCCGGTGCTACTATCGGTTCCAACATTGTGAATAGCATCTTCTAGCGTTGATTCCTCAAGTCTTTTTCGGGTTTGAGAATGGTTTCTTCCTCAGTCATGGGAACGGCGTTCAGGCGGATTTTTGGCTCGACCTATCCTATTCTTAATGAAAATAGCAGAAATTTGATATCATTTTGTGGATTATGACGCATAGCATTGATGATCATTGCTGCTCACTACATGACACATTGTCTCTCCTTTACAGGCATATCAGATTGATCGACTGGCATCAATTGCTTTCCTGTCTTGTAGGGTTTGAGAAATTGGGTATGCTATAGCCGCCTCTGTGGTGTAGTTGGTTATCACGTGAGTCTCATATCTTCTATGATCAGAAGTATCACTTCTGGGACATCTCAAGGTCGGGAGTTCGATCCTCCCCGGAGGCAGATCGGCTGGATTTCCTTTTGGTTCTCTGTCATTGTATACTTTTTTTTTTATTTCCGTTGTGTACGTACGGATTACTGGGATATACCTACACCGAAACTTGTTTTTAAATCATGTTTTGCTTCCTCTCTACTGTGATGTTGAAGTAGTTCGTACACACATTTGCTTATCTATACAGTGGCGTTGATGGCCATCGTACAATCAATGAATGTTCGAGATCAGAAAATGAGGAAAAGGGAAGGTTTACGGAGTAACTGGGATTGTATTCATTTCTCTCCCAATAACTAACAAGGGGACTCTTCTATAATGCCCAAAATGATAACCGTGTCACTTCTGACTGGATATTTGGAGATGTTGACTATGCCATCTCAAACTCTAGACTCCGAATGAGTGGTAATGATGTCAGGCGCACTAGTCCCAGAGAGGAATAGTACATGACTCCCCTCTAAACTGCGCCGCCCAGGGCTCGAGAAGCTTCTGTGTCATCGATATAAACTCGGTGGCTCTGTGGACTCTCTCCTTCTCAGTCACAACTCACAACCTCACGCGATCAAACTCTCCGCCACCCTCTACTCTACCACCTCAGACACGCCTC